TCCGACGTGATCACCAGAGGGACGTCGAACGTGCAGATCCACCGATCATAGACGAGCCTGGCCGCCGTCTCGGCCGTGTTATCCTCGGCCGGCATCAGCATCAAGTAGCGGCTGAAGACGTCCTGGACCTGCAACACATACCGGAACGGGTGATCGTCTGAGCGAGGAAACGGCCCGGCAAAGTCCACCTGCAGGTGAGCGAGTGGTCTGTCGGGAATGTCGGTGTGTTGCATTGGCGCGCGCCCCGGGCTCTTGGGCAGCTTGTTTCTACCGCACACTTCACAGCTGGTGACATATAAATACAGGTCTTGCTTCATGTTAGGCCACCAGAAATTATCTCGAGCTCTCTGCCATGTCCGATCTCGACCCATGTGACCGCTGAGCGGCGCATCGTGAATTAAATGCAACGCTTCTGCCCTCAAGGACCTTGGGATCACCGGCAATAGTTTCCTCCCACCATTGAACGCGTAGCACAGCATGCCATCATGTCTGATTGCTAAACGACGGCGAAACCGATACAAAATACGGGCAGAGTCTGTGTACTTGCTTGGCAGCTTCTCGTCGCTGAGCAGAGCGACGCGAACTGGGGATATCTCCGGGTCCATCTGTTGTTCCGCTCGTATCCGGTCAGAGCTGAAGCCAGTCGACACCAGGTCCGGTCCCAGCTCTTGAGTCTCCGACTGGACCGATGCCACCAAACCAGCCGTTGCGCCGACTCTGGAGAGATAGTCTGCCATGGTCATGTCAGGGTGCTTCCCGGCCCTGTGCACAGGCCGAATCTGGAACTGTTGAAGGAAGTCAATCCAGCGCCCACGCCGGCCCCGTTCGTCGTACGGGTCCAACGAGTTAAGCCAACGGAGCGCTCTGTGGTCGGTGATAAGTTCAAACGGCGCGTTCGACAAATATACGCGAAACCGTTTCACGGCGAGCACCACCGCAAGCAGCTCTTTTTCCGTTGTACTGTAATTCCTCTCATGATTGGACAATGCATGATGAAAAAATCCGACTGGTTTCAGTTGGGCGCCGTCCTTGTTGGCCAGCATCGCTCCGGTGCCCACATCGCTCGCATCAGTCACCAAGGTGAAGGGCTTGCTAAAGTCGGGTATATACAACGCTACAGCATCGGACACCTGCTGCTTCAGCTTACCGAAGGCGGCCGTCATTTCGTCGGTCCAGAGCAACTTCTGCCTGCCGTCCCTGTCAAGAGCGTCGTACAGGGGGCGGGCCGTCTCAGCTAACCCTGGGATCCATCTCTGGACGTAGGCAAAGGATCCCAGAGCCCGACGCAGTTCATGTACGTCACGGGGAAGAGGCAGGTTTCTGAGCTGCTCAACTCGCGCTTCACTCATACTTATTCGCCCGTTACTGATGATCGCGCCCAGGTATTCTACAGTTTTCATGCCGAACTGACATTTTTGAAAAGACAGGGCTAGTCCAGCCTTGCGGACTTTCTCGAGGACCGAGCGTAGCCGTCTCTGGTGCTGCTCCCAGGTCTCTCCCCAAACCAACACATCATCCAAATAGCACAGGGCCTCTGTAAAGTTGGATTCTCCTAGAACAGCGGACATCATTCTCTGAAACGAGAATCCTGCCCCATGCAGACCGAAAGGCGTCCTCTCTGCCCACTCATACTGTCCCCAGGGGACCACGAACGCTGTCATCTCGCTCTCGGAAGGGTTTAACGGCAACTGATGGTACCCACATTTAGCGTCTAGAGCAGAAAAGAATTTGGCATTACCGAGTCTGTCCAGCAGGTCCTCCATCAGCGGTATCGGGTGCAGCGTTGATGCAGCCGAGACTGCGTTCACTCGGCGGTAGTCAATGGCCAAGCGAAGTCGACCGTCCTTCCGGCGTGCACATACCACCGGCGCGGCCCACGGGCTGTGGGACTGCCGGATGACGCCCATGGCTTCCAGCTGCTGCAGCTCCTTCCGCACTTCACCCTCCAGACGGGGTGATAGACGCCTGGGCCGAGACGCCACCGGACGAGTGCCAGGAGTGACGTTGATTCTGTGTTCAACACCAACATGGACGACCGGCAGCTCGCCACCTGCGTAGAAAACGTCACTGAACTCAGAGATCAGACGATTCATGTCCTCACGTTGTGCGTCTGATAAGTCTGCACCAATGTTCGCTCTCTGTCCAGCCCCCTTTCCGTTAGGATCATGATTCAACACTCCTTCCAACGTGAAGTCCGTGCTAGCAGTGGCCACCACCTCATTTCTCCTCAACACTTCCTCAGTTAAACTGACATTGGCCACCCTCACCCACAGCGTGTCATCAGTGGTAGGCCTTATCACACACGAGGCGGCGCAAACCGGTGAGTCCTCACCTCCTACTGACTCCAGCAGGTACTCCCCACCTGGCCGTAGACCGCCACGCTTCACCGGGACGAGTGCCTCGGTGGCCGGCGGCACGGTGACGTCACGTCGAAGCTTCAGGTCGACTCGCTGAGCAGAAGTCGTGTCCTGCGGTTGGGAAGCGCTGAGCAGCTCGAGCTCCACGCCCTTCTCCTCCAGCAGCAGCCGGCGTGCACGCAGATCCAGCTTCATACTGCCAAGGCGGGACCAGAAGTCAATGCCCAATATGGCGGGAACGACCAGCCCGCGCACAACAACAAACCGCTGGTCACGCACAATCAGTCCGCCCACTTTAACGGTGCGCCATACCTCACCGAGTACTGGGATATCCTCGCTGCTGACGCCCCGACCACGAACATTTGACGGCCTGATGGCCAGCCGCTCACGAGCCGTCAAGTTCTCATCTGCAACTAATGACCAATCAGCGCCCGTGTCTACCATGGCGCGGCCATTAACCCCATCGCCCCATTCAACGGACACGTATGGGGCGCTTGTGAGAGCTCGGGATAAACAGTCGCGAGCGGACAGATCGGACATGGCTGGCATCGATGCGCTACAGCTGGCAAAAGAAAATTGTACGACAGGTTTGTGCCGCGACCAGCACCGCACATCCGTTGCTCCCGGTATGCTCGGTCCCTCCCCGGGTTTTGCGACTGGGGGACTGCTTAGTAAAAATCCTGCTGCTCACCTGGCTGCTCGTTGAACACGGCGGGCGCAGCTGCACTCTCCCGACGCGGTGACCAGTGCGGGTCCTCAGAGAGACGCTTACGGCACCGGTACCAGCCGCCCTGATGAGGAATGTTGCAGTAGTAGCACCGGCCCACTGACCGACCGACCCTCCCCGCCCCAGCGCGCGGGCCAGACTGCGGAGCCGGCGTCTGACCCGACCGCGCCGCGGGCGGTCCGGTCAGCTGACCGGGCGCCGACCCGAAGCGGCCCGCCCCCCTCTGCCAGCGAGCGGGAGGGGGAGGGGAAGCGGCCGTCTGGGGCTGGGCGGCGAGACATGTCCCACCAACCTGATGGCGGTGACCCGTGAGAGCCGCCGCCTGCTTCGATGTTCTTGCGATCTCTGCGATTTTGAGAATGTCGTCATACTCCTTAGCATTTTCGTCATCCTTCATCCAGCGTTCACGAATGAGCCGTTCCCGTATATCTCTGTCGATTAGACCGTCCAAAAAACGCCAAACAACGCGTTTCCGTCTGATATCGGCCGACTCGCCGGCGAACGCATCCCCAGCTAGCCGCTGCAGCCGCGTAAGAAAATCAGCAAGGCTTTCCTCTTCCCCTTGTTTAGCTTCCTCAAATCTGATAATCCTTACCTCTATGGCTTCAGTCGTAACGTACCGTCTCTCCAGATGCTCAAGGATTTGCTCGTCGTTTTGAACCCATTTCGAATCTTGGGCGGCCTCCTCCCGTACGTATTCTGCTGGGGCCCCGGTGAGGCACAAACGCAGCTCAACACTCCGGTAGACCGCGTCCTGCCATACCGTCACTCCTCGTGCGATATTGGCCTGCTTCACCAGAAGAAAGTGGTCCTTGAAGCCTCTCCACGCTCCTGGCGACAGGTCGTCGCCGAAGACCCTGCTCAGCGCCACGGCGCGGTGCCCCTCTCCTGGCGTGGGCATGATCGGCGCTGCCACCAGTGACACAGGACGTTCCAGCAGTAACTGACTGTATTAACCGACAACAACGTCTGACAACGGTAATGGTAAGAAGGCACAACTTCACAAGTTCGCCAACAGATGGCGACATCTGTCACATCTTGTGTGGGACGGAGTCGAACGCCTTTCGGAAGTCAAGGTAAATCACTTCGACCTCCGTCTTGTCCTCCAACAGGCGGCTCCATGAGTCTATAGAGTCAAGCAGTTGCGTATCACAAGATCGCTTCGGGCGGAAGCCATGTTGGTCCTTGGACAGCAGGTCATTTGACAGCAAATGGTCCATTAAATCACGAATGAGCGACTCGAGAATCTTACAGGGAACAGATGTGAGGCTGACAGGTCTATAGTTTCTTGGGTCTTCCTTTTCACCTTTCTTAAAGATTGGTATGACTTTACCGTGCTTCCAGTCTGCAGGAATAGACCCAGTTTCAAGCGATTTTCGGAACAGTAAGGTCAAGGGAAGGGAGAGAGGACCACTCAATTCTCTTAAAACGCGGGGGTGAATCTCATCAGCTCCTGGGGCACTATTGGGGTTCAGTGCTTTAAGCTTTTGCTTCACTGTGAAAAGGTTGACTGGTATATCGATCAGCGGCGGCCCTGTGTAACGGTTTGCTAGTTGTGGCACGACATCCGTTTTTTCAATAGTGAATGCGCCTGAGAAGACGTCATTCAGGAGCGAGGCCTTCTCTTTTTCCTCGCTAACAAGCTGGCCCTGGTCGTTTCTTAGATCACCAATACTTGATTTAACTTTACGGCGGCTGTCTGTCTCAACTGACTGCATCTGAAGGAGTGGCTATCACCAATCATCCACATTTCCATCAGGATCATTACCATCAACCATGAGTTTTTATTTTTCATGCATTATCATTACCTGATAACCAATCAACTACTTCTCATGAATCATGATTTACTAAGTTACCTAGATAGCTCATTGTGTTTCTGATGTGTGTTTAAGCTGTTCTTTATTTGTCCTCAGGCCACCATGTCGACTCGTTTGTATCCTATATACCAGCGGGGTAATCCCCAGCTAAGGATATTCCTTCCAAACTTTTGGATGAAGCTGCTCAAGCCGACCCATCCGATTCCATCAAATGCTGTGCAATTCATGGTGTCACCAGAGATGACCAAACATGATGTAAAGCAATACTTGGAGAAAATCTACAATGTACCGGTAGTGGAAGTTAACATCGCCAATAAAATGGGTGTGTAAACACTAAACAGTATGTAAAGGTACAGGTATTGAAAATATGTTTTAGGAGCAGCAGCTGTTGCTTGTTGACTTAACGGCGATTTTTCATGGGAATCAGACTTTTTAATCATTGAGACAGGTTATATTTTGTGTGTTACAGCTCATAGCAGTTGGAAAAGGATGATGTATGAGCATGACATGTATTTTTAAGGCATTAGTTTGTATGTTCAAGTCCGATCGGAATTGCCGATTTGTATAAGTTATTGGTGCAACATAGCGCTGATCGCATCGTTATTTCAGGAAAATTACGAAGAACCGATAAAGGCTACATCGTCAAAGATGATGATCTGAAGTATGCCTTCGTCACACTGGTAAGGGGTAATGGGCGTAGCCTTCATCGACCGATTGGCTATCCTCGATGCCAATCTTCGGTTACCTACACTTTCCACGTTCTGTTTTCATGTCGTCATAGGCTTTGCTCACTCTGCCGTGCAAAGGCAAAAAACTTCTATGTGATGTCAGACTGTGACACTGACCTCACATAGTAGTTTTTGCCTTTGCACGGCAGCGCTGTTCTGTTTTCACAAGTCTTTCAGATTGTTGTTTGCCGATCGTTTGATGGTTATCGTTACATTTCATCATAGAACTATCGAGGAATTATACATAGGAATTGCCTATAGACTCATAGAGGTTTTATGCTCGTGCTTACTCATCGGCCTGTGTGTGCTTCAGCCGAAGGACATGACGTTCGAGTTCCCGAATCTGATGTCTGAAGAGAAGAAGCAGGAGCGATCTGATCAGATGAAGGAGATCGAGCGCGTCAAGGACACCTACAAGAAGGACCAGGACCGGTTCAAAGACAGACCAGGAGTGCCCACCTGGTTCAACTAGTCATTAGCACAGTGTATTGTATGAATCACTGAAAGGGTCGTGTGTCCATTGGGTTTGGTGTCTGTATGCGGGAGGAGGTGGGGGGGGGGGGAGTACGTTTATGTGCTGGATGATTGTCATTATCGTGCGCTATGTGGGTCTTGGTGCATTGTTATGAATATTAATCTGTTTTGTACCATACGTTTGTGATCTCCAGGAGACCTAAGATAGTCGACTTAAGATGCAAAGAAAGGCAAAGGACTTGTCCATCAAAAACGACCGCCTGACAAACTGCGTCCCTACGGTTATCTAGTTTCCTAACAACCAAACATAATGCCTACAACCTCTACCACCTTGATTGATTCGTCACATTCCTTGATCCTCCTACCGCCTCCTTTACACGGTCAGCACACAGCCACACCCACTCAGAGCTACCCGTACCATCGACCAGGCACCGACTCACCTACCCTGACCCATTGCCAGGTACTGCCACACCCACCTGGTTTCGAACTCGGGTCGCCCAGTCTGCAGACCGATGCCCTACCACCCTTCCACTCCAGCCCCCACCTCCACGGACCGTCAGAATCTAGTCTTTCATCTTAGAGCTACCCGTACCATCGACCAGGCACCGACTCACCTACCCTGACCCATTGCCAGGTACTGCCACACCCACCTGGTTTCGAACTCGGGTCGCCCAGTCTGCAGACCGATGCCCTACCACCCTTCCACTCCAGCCCCCACCTCCACGGACCGTCAGAATCTAGTCTTTCATCTTTGATTAAGCGCCCACTTAAAGGGACCCTCCCACCTTCAAAAAAGTTTATGAATTGGCATGAAAGTGATGTCGCTCGGTTCAGAAAGAGCGAAAACGAATATCTACCAAATTTCACCGAAAAATATTCACCGGTTTTCAAGATATTAGACTTTTACTTTTGTTTACTTTTTGGGATCTCCGCTGTTTCTAGCGACTTTATTTTAGAAGTGCGGCGTTTGCGGCAGATGTTGCGCGCAAATAGCATATACCACCGCGTGCTACAAAACGTTTTAGTCAAACTTAATGACGGACGTTCGAAAGCCTGATGACGTCATCAGATTCCCGTAATGGTTAAGAGATAGGGACCAAGCTGGTCCCACCCTGCAAGTAAAGGGAAGAAATTTCTTGAATACCATAAAGCTGCGGGGGTTGCGACCAGGATAAATGGTGGTTTCTGAGCCTGGCCGCAAACTTGGCTATCTCAACTCAAAACTAATGTTAAGGTGGGAGGGTCCCTTTAAACGCTGGCGAATCCACTGGTCTGATTTGAATACCAGTCGGCAGTGGAGAACCGCGACAGCCCAGTCCCCAGGCCCCAATGTCGGACACATTTCTCCGAACATAATTCAAACACATTATATCGCAAGCAGCACAACAACTTAACATTGGAAATATTTCTCAAGCATATATTCACCAAGAACTCGTCATCATATCACTGCAGGCGCACCCGCCTATTACGCTACTAAGCGACGCTCTCTCGCTCGCGCATTGCATTGATACGGCTTCACATACCTACTGCCAAGGGGCGGGGATCAGATAGGTGAAAAGGAAGACCGCGGTGTTACGGAAATGGGTAAGAAAGAGGGGTCACAAACATAAAATGGATGGAGGACAGGAGATTAAAATAAGATAGATCATAGAAGAGATGCCATAGCAAAGCAACCCAGTTGAATGGACCCAGTTGAGATAAACTAAGACAATAATCGTTAGGCACACATACACGGACACTGTAGCTCTTTGAGTTACCGGTCAACTATTCGTCACACAGACATATAGACTATGGAACGCTATGGGTTGAGCTGAGGATCCCGTTGTGCAACACACAACTGGTCGATCAAATAATACCGACTGTGCTCTCAAACCCGAGTCCGCCGCTGCATGATTCCCAGCTACATCGGTATCGGCGCCAGTGAATAGTCAACACATTTGTCGCAGTCTTTGAACTCAACTTCTCTTGTAGAACCAGCAAGGCTGTGCACCGTCTGCAAGCTAAGTACAACCAATAGTGGTATACCAAAGCACCCGGTATACACGATGGCATCTTTCAGACCCGATTTTGACAGCACCTGTCTTTGGGACCCTTGACTGTACCTACAGCTCCGCACTATTCACAACACTCCAAAACACGCCTTAGTGCTCTTTCAGGCGCTACCTTCTCATCCCACAAATCCTCTCAAGCTTTTCCTTCGACGACCTTCCTTCGGCAAGACATTAGACGACATCTGAACTCGGCCCAGCTCACATGCCGTTGTAGGAGGGCCCGCCACCACTCTCGGGCGTCACCCAGTTGATGTTCTGGCTGGGGTCCTTGATGTCGCACGTCTTGCAGTGGATGCAGTTCTGGGCGTTAATCTGCAGTCGCTGGCCCTGGTCATCCTCCGTGGGCACGTACTCGTACACGCCTGTCGATAGAATGGACGTCAGCTGGCTTGGATAATACTCTCCAACCCAGGGTTGGCCGGTCGCGGTGGCACACGACATACATTCTGCCGTCGTAACATCGACAGACGAAAGCGTACACGAGAGCCAGCATCATTATACAGCTGGCAACCTGTATCAAACAGGTCGTGGCAAATAAATAAAAACTGCGAAAGGTATGATACGAATACACTGGAGACACATGTGCATACTAAAAGCCAACCATGCCATGAATGGTCATATCAGATTTTAGCATTACTTCTACTTTGGTATACTTCTACTTTACTTTCAGCATTACTTCACCATGCAACGTGACAAAACTAAACTAGAATAAAAAACTAGAATAAAACGTCACATAATATCACGATTCACGGCAATATGTCATGCAGTAGCGCAGTGTGCACTGACCTGCCGGACAGAAGCGCGCCTCGGGTCCATCGAACACGCCCAGGTTCTGTTTGACGGGAGACGTGTCGTCCCGCAGGGTCAGGTGCGGCGGCTGATCACCCTCGTGGTTTGTACCTGCCGGTAACGAGGGCGGTCAGTCGGGTTATGTCTGCAGCGATACTGGACAGATACAGGACATGATTTGCTACCGCATAATTGAGACGCCTGAAATCTATATCAATCAGAGTTTCAGCTGCTTACCACCGCATTCAAGAACTGTGGAATACAGATATAATGGACAACACTGGACCACCTTTCCAACCAACAGTTCAACAAGCATGACCGAAGCGTGGTTAGATGAATGCACCAACATCAATATCAACGTCATTACTAAAACCATTACGAGCAACTTAAGAGGGCTTTGCAGTCCACATCCACGTAACACATCCAATCATGACGGGCGAAGACCCATGAGAGCATCATATTCGTCCATCAATCGGGATCCCACTGGCCCCCACCTGTGAGCGCCACCGATCCAAGCAGGTCGAAGCTGAGTTTGCCGTCCGGCTTGGGGTACTCGATGGGCTGACACTCGCGGGACGGCTTCAGACGCAGGTAGTCGGGACCTGGCGGACAATATACCAGTGCGAGCGATGGAATAGACAGAGTTGTGAGAAAGGGACGTAAGCGCAACTATGTATAAAGGCATCAGGACATGATAATATAACAAATACGAGACGTGCTGTTTAAGTGTCAGGGTAACAAAACATGGGGCGATGACAAATCATAATCCATAGTAGGGTCCGATGTCGACCAGATTACGCAATATTACTCGACGATTAGCACGAGAAGAATCGACCCCTGATGTGATTTGCCTCTGCTTTAGACAATACCACTGGAGTTACGCTAACACATCTTCAAACCCACGCCAACCACCGTCCCAACCTGTATCTGTAAGAATCTTGGTCCCAACACTAACCGGGATGTTTGAGAGTCCACGGCTCCTTGCCGCGTCCTAGCACATAGAACAGGCCGGTGTAGGCCAGCCCTCCGTACAGTCCCAGCCGAGAATGGAACGAGGGGCGGACGTTCCGCACAGCCGTCAGCTCCTTCCAGACGCTGGAGCTGCGGATACGCTCCTCGTAGCTGACCGGGTTCACGCCTGTTCAATAAGAGAGCGAGGTGCCAGGAGGATGAAGCGAAGGTAGCAACAACGGGAGAGCGGAGAGTGACCTGGCGGTGCATGCTATCGCATACTTGAGTTCAATAGGACTTATTGGGGAGATGCTGCTGCTTAGAGGATTAGCATCTGCTGCTTGATGGATGAATTCCATGAAAGTAAATGTCTGAACGAGCTGAAAAATATGAATGTAGACTTTCCAAAAAAGATATTTGGGACCGAGATACAAGAATTCCTTTATCATCGATTGTCTGATTGAAATGGAAGAATAGTTTGACTAAAATAGCAAGAAGCTGGGAAGCATTAATATCACCAGCCACCAATAATCTCACAAGACACCACCATCCACCAATAATCTCGCAAGACATTAAAAATCAGCACTTTGCAGTTCCAATTTCCCCCTGCCCCCCCCCCCCCCTGCATCTCACTCAAAGTTTCTGTGTCTCCCTTCTCGATGGCGTCATAGACGCTCTCGGCGGCAATCATGGCGCTCTTCATGGCGTTGTGCGTGCCCTTGATCTTGGGCACGTTCATGAAGCCGGCGCTGCAGCCGATCAGGCACCCGCCGGGGAAGGTGAGCCGTGGCAGGCTCTGCAGGCCGCCCTCGTTCAGGGCGCGCGCACCGTACCCGATCCTGACAGCGGAGAATGGTTAATAAATATATCGGAAAGGGTGGAGGGGTATGGGCGAGAGCGAAGGGACGGGGTGAATGGTTTTATTCATTTGCTTATTTGCCATCATCACCAAAAAGAGAAATTCTCCACAACAGGTGAAGCCAGGGGTAGTTTTCCGATGAAAAATATCAATATTTTCATATTGAATTAGATTTTGAATATACGGGGACAATAAAGTACCAAAGCACCATCCAAGAAAGTCCGACCGTGCCACAGCTGACGTCATTCTTAAATGTTCTTGCGACTAGACAATATATAGATATAGATAAGCAGTGTCTACGGCCTCCCTTTCGGGTGCTGCTGCTGAGTATATCTCCTGCGGCCATCGACCATTCTCCTTCCCATACCTGGTGCCCCCCTCGAACGTCTTGGCGACGGACGGGTGGTGCTTGAAGCGCTGGAACTCCTTGAACGGGCTGAGGTAGGGGTTGGTGTAGTCGAGTCCGATGACGAAGCCGACAGCCACCAGCGGCGTCTCGTCGTTCAGGTGGTACAGGAACGAGCCGCCGTATGTGTCCTTGTCCTGTGAGTGAGAGGGCGTCGAAAATCGGTTATAGGGGCAGATTCAGCGTCAGTGATAAAGAGGCACGAAAGGCAATGTGTTGTGCGATAATACCTAGACAAACAGATTTGACATTAACCAAGGTCTGATTCTGTAACACAACATATAATGTTACCATTGATCGCCATCAGACGTCTGGCCTACTCCACATTAATCATACATGACTCAATCCTGCCACTACCGACCTCCTAAAACAATATCGCACCCTTTAAAGGGACAGTATCACCATTTTGATGAAATTTGACATTGCATAGGCCCCACCTTTCTGGTCCGGGAACTGAAGACCGATCCTCGAAGCTCCACACCGTTATCCCGCTATCGCCGCTCAAAGTACGAAAGGTGTACTACACTTTGAATCGTGCTTCACTATCTTCACTGTTTAAATGTTTGCGCCGTTTTGAATTGACCGCCAGTAATAAAACTTTTACCCTGGTCATTTCATCAAATTTTATAAAGCCAAAACGTTTTTCGCACTTATTCATCACCGTTAAATTCATTAAATAGTCGTAGGCAATTTCCGCTGTTTCCTTCGGATTCTAGCGGCTCAACAAAGGAATTCCTTCAGCTTGAAGGAATTCCTTCAGCTTGTCACGTGATATCTTCTGGGCAATACCTAATGCTGCCTTTCCCTAACGACAACTCAATCAGAAGAGCGGCCGCGTAAGCGTAGCGTCAATAATGTATTATCTGCGCCAGTTCTGTAGTAATTTCGCAGGCTTCCAAACTGGCGGCCATGCTTGTAGTGGTGGTTCGCTCATGAAAATGACTCGCTCATGAAAAAATATTTTTCACCGAGTTCGGTCCTCAAACTATGTTTTTCTGATTCAGAAAAATAAGAAATGCTAGTAAAAAAAAATCAGCTCCATACATTGATTTTTTTTTCGATGATACTGTCCCTTTAAGTCATTTCCCATCGCGACCCGTGACCCGTCTCACAAGGCTTCATCTCCCTGCACTCACCAGCGGCCACCCGACGGTGTGCTCCACCCGTCCGGGCTGATGTACGTCCGGCGATACCTCCCACAGCTCCTTCAGACCGATACCGTACGTCTGCGGCTGAGAGCTGTTGTCGCGCAGGTTAAACTTGGTGATCAGCTCCTTGGCCAGGTGGCCGTGGCAGCCCTCGGCGAAAATTGTACACTTGGCGTGCAGCTCCATGCCGCGCTCAAACGAGTCCTGCGATACAATATGAGCAAACATATGTCAGACATTGGATGGATATGATGCTTAAGTTACATGACCTTCAAGGCGGACGTATATTTAAGAAAAGGCAATGATTGCACGCAGCCGAAAAACGAGCACTTATTTGGCTGCAGTGAGAGTTATGTAATAGGAATGATGTCAATGATTTTAGCGTTATAACTTTTGCCCATACGACTTCACGACAGTAGCCCGTTTCTTTCCTCCAGTTTCATCACGCATTATCCTCCTTCCATGCTGTCAGGCATCGTGGTAGTTAACACTGTCCTTGCCCTCCCTGTCACTCGTCCACTAACCTTCGGGGATCCATCCTTGGCGATGCCCAGATCGCCGGTGGCCACTCCTTTGACCGATCCGTCCTCATTGTAGACCACCTCGGCCGCCGCCGTGCCGGGGTAGACATCCACACCGAGCTCCTCGGCCTGCTCACCCAGCCAGCGGACCACGTGGCCCAGACGCACCACGTAGTTACCATCGTTGTGCATTGGGAATCCGGGCAGGATGGGGATCGGGATGCGCCGCCGCTCGGTGAGGAAGGCGAACTTGTCGGCCGTGACGGGCGTGTTGAGCGGCGCGCCGCGCTCCTTCCAGTCGGGGATCAGCTCGTTGAGCGGCTGTGGCTCGATGCACGCGCCAGAGAGTGTGTGACCGCCTGGTGGATGAAGAGTCCAACATCAGCTCACTGCTCAGGGTGGAGAGCGATAGAGCGATAGTGGAGTGGCGGGGAAATGACCAAGTCCAGAGAATGCTCAACACAGAGATTGATCGACAGTCCAGAAAACATAAGTCAACTTAAGATATTTTTCATTCACCTGTTGTTATTTGGGAGAACAAGAAGCTAGATAGGTACAATAATAATCTCATCAAGTTACAAACATGCAGTTTGCTTGGTCATTCTTGATTCATAGCACTCCTCAAACGGTGAACGTCCTTCTCACCGAGCTCCGAGGCCTTTTCGACGACGGTGACGCTGAGTTCCTGTCCCTTCTCGGCGGCGAGCTGCTTCAGTCGGATGGCTGCGGAGAGGCCAGCCGGTCCGCCGCCCACGATCAGAACGTCCGTCTCGTCCGACACCCGCTCCATGTCCACGTCTGAGTGCGTCGTGGAGAGAGCGAAGAAAAGGAGTGAGCTCGATGATACTCATGCCATGTCCACATATTCTGAGTGACAGTCAAGGAAGAAGTGAGGAAAAGGAGTGAATTTGACCATGCCCACTCTATCTTCATATCTAGGTGGCAAAGTCATGGTAACAGTGGATAAATTAGGGTCAGAGATGCATTACTGTAGGTGAAGTGATGATACAAGGATTGAGGTGAGATTGATTGAAAATGGATAGTGACAGTATATTTCACTACTTCATTGCATTGAGGCAATGTTCTTCACTTAGGTATCACTTTTCACTTTGAAATACAAATATGCAAATGGAGCCAAAGCTGCTCATAACAAGGATTCTTGCAGCACACTGGTAACTCTTTGATACTACCTACCTACCTACTTCACTCACTTCCTTCTTAGAAAGCATCTATCTATTGTCTCTGATTGATAGCTTGTCAACAATGAACACAGCATTTTATGAAGACAAATTTTGCCTGTGAGACATTTATTACAATTTACAAGTCCATATTTAATATTGACAATGATATGAATTCCATGCAGCCTGATTTACAAATACCAGCAGTGCTGAAAGGTCCTGGTCCACAGATTGTCATCATCACGTAGCTGAGGCTATCTTACTATCAATAAAAGTTAGAACACCTTGCCACTTCCACCACTCTCTACTTGATAACCATTACACTCTCTCTGCCAACCAGATAGGAAACAAGGCTAATTCCATACAAATACAACCATGAAACTACCTACCTGCAGAACATGAATATTGAAAGGACACAAAAATGGGGCAAAGATTTGCATAAAATCACAAAAAAGCAATGCTCACCATGTGGCGTACGTACCTTTCCATCTTGGATCTTGGTCTCTGGGGCATATGGTGTAGTGAGTTGTGATCTTTGGAAAACTTTCTGCACTGTGCTGGAGCCTGTATCCAACTTGACGAATCAGTCTACCTGAAAACCAAGAGTTTACAAAGATAAGTAAGCATAATAACTCAATTTTGTTTATATATAAGGGGCCAGGGCATACTGGCTGTTTTACTTTGTCAATCATCCTGACCTAAGCAGTTGTCACTGCCATTACATAACACTCCATAGGTCCTTCGGAGGCATGTTTGTTACCCTGTTTCTTGGGAATTTATTGTGAGCATTGCCATGATAACCATTTCAATTAGACTTTAATAAAACAATTTCTTGTCTTCCCTAAAAATTAGGGCACATTTGATCTAATATCGACGATGAATCCAATAAAAGAACATCATTTGTAATAAGCATAATAGACATAGTAAAATGCCACAACTGTAGCATCTAGAAGAGAAAATGGTAGGCAAAGTTTATAGCCAATACAATGGCCCATTAAATTACTTAAATACACATGTATTTCCTAATTTGTGAACCAAAAACATGACTCAAACTTGTACTGCTCACCTGCCCGAGCAGAGCTCTTTACCAGTCCGTACATGATTTCAACCTTTTTTCAAGCACAATGCATGCAATTGCAAAAATATATGATCTGCTGATCTTCCAGCTTCAAAAGGAAATATCACAGCCGATGAGTAGCAGGAACTCGCTTAAAAAAACTCAAAATCTTCCGCAAACTGTCTATCCCCATTCACAGAGCTTGCAAAATGGTAATGTATCCTTTGCGCCATAAATGAATCGAGGTCACTATTATGTAAACATGAAGCAAAAGAGAGCGCGCAGGCAAATTGTTTACAGCGCAACAAACGCTGTAACCGTTATTAGATCGCCTCAGAACAATTCGGGCATAATACATATAACTTCTTTTTTTGTTTTAATACTGATTTAGATTGATGAAGCCAATCGTTTCAAATCCTCCACCAGGCCTTTCGACATCAGGAAAAGACGTATTTCCCACGAAGATCCATGGCCTTTCTGGGTACAGCGCCCAGCGGCCAGCCGGAATTTCAGCATTCCACATTAGTAAAACAGAAGCTTTATCCGCTATGCTTCAATTGAAATTGCTCACGATTTTCGAGAGTCTGAGACCATTATGGTTTAATGGCGATCCAGTCTACAAGCAAGACATTATTGTTGTTTTATAATTCATTTCGTTTCGCCTCGCTGTGTAAGACTGTTGCACACGCTCAGCTACCTTTCTATAAATTGTTCGCAAGTTTACGCCATATCATGGTGTGCCCAATCATTCGGCGGTCTTTCGATCCCCAGCGTCATCTAACCTTATTTGAGAGCAAAGATTGCGAGTTAACTCTCGTATAAATCCTTCTCAGACCTTAGCATTCACGCATCATCCGGCAAACAGCATGAAGCGAGAAAAAAAAAAACTATAAACACAAACCACCAATCATATATTTATTCATGTATCGCGAACAACCACATAAAACAACACAACGCAGAAGGCAGCGGGGCGGCAGCTCTGGGCGGCGGGGCCGTCCGTCCAGCCGCCCGGACGGCTGCGGCCGGGCTCAGAGGGCGGCAGGCCGCGCCCGGCGGGGGCGGGGGCGGGGGCGGGGGCGGGGGCGGTATCACAGCGGCGGCCGGTGCACGTGCCGCAGGCTCAGGTGCGGCGACAGCAGCTGAAACACAGAGGAATACTTAGGTTAGATAAATCGCAAGGGTCTTATGGGGCACTCGGAAGAGACGGCAGAATCAAAAACATACACGATAGTCGATAGCGTTTCATATCATCATGGCACAAATCCCCGGTCAGATCAACAGGCCAGCTCAGATCACACGGGACAAAGAGCGCATGATTTGACTGCCGTCTAAGACCGATGCAGCGTTATCTGATTTTATTGAGAGCCGGAACCTGATAGATGTTGCGTTATCACACAACAATAATAAACCACTAGCAATAGTCAGCACCTTTATCACTTGTACTGCTTCCCTGCCTCCAATCCTTATCTGCCGATATAACGGTGTGCTATGCTCGGTGTTGCAGTGATTTGTGAACAGCGCCTAGTGAGGGATTCCGATGAATAAGACACGCTAAGACAGACATGGTCATATAAATGTGAGCAAGGTCATATGACCATATATGACCCAAGATTCCTTTATCAGGACTAACAAGTGTGCAATAAAAACGCACTGTAAATGCGAACGGGCACCAGACGAAGCTCGTACCTTCGTATTTGCGCTCACTCTGTGTAGTGTTTCTACCTAGTGTGTGGCTCACACAACTGTTCTACGCTATATTTCCCTCATACACTCACCCCTAACCAGGAGTAGGAGGCATTGGCCACGGATAGGAAACGCTGACCAGGCGTAGCCCGCCACTCACCTCTGACCAGGAGTAGAAGACACTCACTTACCTCTGACCAGGGGTAGAAGACCCTGACAGCCGTCACTCACCTCTGACCAGGAGTAGAAGACACTGATACTTACCTCTGACCAGGGGTAGAAGACCCTGACAGCCGTCATTCACATCTGACCAGGAGTAGAAGGCGCTAACACTCACCTCTGACCAGGAGTATAAGGCACTGACCAGAGGGGTAGAAGGCACTGACTGGGAGTAGCTGATGCCACTCACCTCTGACCAGGAGTAGAAGGTGCTAACACTCACCTCTGACCAGGAGTAGAAGGCGCTAACACTCACCTCTGACCAGGAGTAGAAGGCGCTAACACTCAACTCTGACCAGGAGTAGAAGGCACTGACACCCACCTCTGACCAGGAGTAGAAGGCACTGACACCCACCTCTGACCAGGAGTAGAAGGCGTGCGGCGGCGCATTGCAGCTGGTGTGCGCCGGCGGCACCAGCAGCACCATGACGGCTAGCAGCAGGAACAGGCCACCGACGCAGTAGCGGGCGCGCACCACCGTCTGCTCCCGAGAGTACGGCCACGCGTGCGCCACGTCCCAGAGCAGCTTCCTGCGGCGAAAGACGGACGGTAACGAACGCGGGAAAACAGTGGCAAAAACCGCGGGAGGCACACGGTAACGGACGCGGGCAACGATTGAGGGGGAAAACGGTAACGGTACACGGGACAAGGACGGCAACGGCCACGGGGAACAGACAGTAACGAACGCGAGGGATACACAGCAACGGCACACGGGACATAGGCGGTAAAGTCCATGGGGACGGACAGTAACGAGCGCGAGGAACCGGTAGCACGGTAACGGCACACGGAACTTAGGCGGTAAGGTTCGTGGGGCACTGGATTAACTAAGGATGCTTATTGCTTATATAACTATGCATTTACGAATTACATGGACGGGTGGTCACTAAACCTACCAAAAGCAACGACCATGGTCTGCTATCTTCCGGTTCCCGTTCGTTCGCAACAAAACCCAGTTAAGTCCTAGATAAGCCAAATCTGGAAATGCATTGTTGAATGAAACCACAAACTGTGAATGCGAAAGCCGGCTGATCCACTTCGCTCTAGGGTCAGCTCCCACTCTACCCGGTAGGAATTAAGCTACCGCTTTCCGCCACTAGACCGACGAACCTTCTGCCAGGCGTTAGCCCTCCCATCCCATCCCGCCACTATGACCTCACCCCACGGTGGTGGTCTGCTGCAGCACGGCATCCCTCTGCCGGGACAGCAGCGTCTTCAGGTCGTTGGCCAGCTGCTCCTGCTCCGACCTCAGGGTGGCCAGCTCGTCTGACACCGTCTCCTCCATGTGCGTCCGCAGGTCCTGGTCGCCCTCGGCCGAGCCGTCGTCCGGCTCCTGGTCGGGCTCGTCTCGCTCGGGCGAGTTGGAGTGGGAGCTGGGTGGCTGCCGGTCCGCCGAGGACGGCGGGTGGTGGTCCGGGGAGTGGCGGTGGTGCTCCGACTCGGACCGGTCCTCCTCCTTCTCCTCCTTGATCGCGCCGAAACTGGGGAAACAGCGGGAGGAAGACATAAGGAAAACTGAGATAAAACCGAGAGCCTTAAAATAAATTCACTACAAATTGAGAAGCACAGTGCCAAAACCCATGGAACCACATTCGCCATATTACAGCGCTGACAGCAGGCCGCTGGGGCAAAGTAGAAAACCTGCCTGCTAATCACAGTTAACAGCAACTTTATAAGCTCTTAGTGACAATACTATCATAAAATGATGGGTTGCCCTGGGTACCAAAAGTCAATTTCACAACCCCTAACAAGATTAGGGTCTGTAGTTTGTAACCAATATGAAAATCATACCCCATCGCCACCCATCAAGCAAACCACACTTGACAGTTTTCTATGTAAGCCAGCAGTACACTGACTTGGTGCGGGTACCACAGCAACCACAAAGCTCACCCCTGACCCCAACCTAAAAATATCCGCAGAAGCATCCCCTGTTCAGTCACAACCATCTAGCTGCGGTGCTACTCCACAATGCCACAAACCATCTTAATCCAATCAACGACCACACTAGTCCCAAGGCTCCTACCCCACACAGCGTTCCAAAATCTCTCGCTCCCCAAATGTCCCACACATCTCTCGCTCTCTCACCCGTCTGCGTCGCCGGCTCCGAGTGAATTCCGTCTCCGCCTCAGTCCGGCCGTCGGTGTCACAGGACTGCCGGCCGACGGGCTCAGCTGTCCCGAGTGACCGCCCAGGGGACTGCCCAGGCCGCCCAGACCGCCGCCGCCCCCGCCCAGACCGGTCGCCAGCGGCTGGCCGGCCGGGCGCGGTGCGAAAACGGCAATGGAGGCGCGCCGCCGGCCGCCCGGCACCGCCTTCTGCACCGGCTCGTGCAGAGCGATGTTATTGGTGGCGAGAACGCGTCGCGCCTCCTCCAGCTCGGCGTGCTCGCGCTCGTAGAGGTGGCGCAGGCTCTCCACGTGCTGTGTCATCACCTCGACGGCGCGCGAGACACGCAGCTCCTGCTGGGCGGCGCCTAGCACCTGTCGAGACGGGACGGAGCGACCGTCAGCGGTGTGTATTAAGGGAGAACAGGCGTGATAAGCACTAATGCAATGACGATAATTGCTGGATTTCCGTACCAGCTCTTGTCTTGGAGCTCTGTCCCGGAATAGAGCATTGAACAAAATGCAGGCCTATAAAAGACCCGCGTAAACGATGAAATCATGTGTGAAAATAATAGTAGGCTTCGTTTGAGACCATTATCAAAGGTCATTGGTGAAATTCGCATTTATTGACCATTTTGACGAAACTCTTATGTTTAATATAAACGTGTCTCGCCCAATAAATGCGAGGCAGCCCAGCAGCATGTTATGTTCTCATGCCTCGGCTGTGCGGGAGAGCCTCTGCGATATTTGTTTTATGATGTCGAGCTGCCGCTGTAGTGACTTCATCTGCTCCGAGCGGTCGGCGTCCGACTGACTCAGCATCTGCAGACGGAAACGATTGGGAATGTAACACGCCTGGTCATGATATGCGACTTTCGCGATATGTTCGATGCAATTCAGTGGAAGCTGAAAGCCGAAATGAAATGACCGGATGGACGAATAAACGCACAACCGAATGAATAAATGAATGAATGAATGAATGAATGAATAAATATGAATGAATGAATGAATGAATGAATGAATGAATAAATAAATAAATTACGAATAATTCAGCTTAAACAGCAAACTAGAAGATTCGCGAATGAATGACTAATAATTGCAACGAACATATTTACGAATACGCGCGATATTTTAGACGAACTAAGCTATAACACTAATCAAACTAATCATCCCTACAACAGCCCACTATCCCTCCCTTTCGTCCACCGGCAGCCATTCATCGGACTCTGACCATGAGCTGCTCTCTGAAGCGCTGCGCCTCCATGTCGAGGTTCTGTTCGGCCTGGTCCCGGTGGCGTCGCTGCACGTCCAGTCTCTCGTGCACTGTTAGCCGGTCCGTCTTGAACGCCAGCGCCAGAGAACTGAACTTGCTCTGTGGGACAGATGGGGAGGGAAATTAGACCGCTGCCAGAGCGCTGATGTTACTCTGTGAAACGGACGGGAGGGAAATTAAGCCAAAGTCAAGTCAGTGAGCTGAACTTGCTCTGTGAAACAGACGGGATATGAGAATTAAATCAAAAGACAGCAAGCTGAGCATGCCCAGTAGAAAAGACGAAGGAGGGAAATTAGAGCGGCGCCAGCGAACTGAGCTTGCTCTCAAACAGACGGGGGAGAAAAATAACAAATAGAAAAATAACCAATCCTATCTGCGAGGGAGAAAACATAGCCACTAGAGCCTTGTTATCAATGGCGCAAAATTGCACTCCAGGAGTCAAAGAAAGCCGACATGACCAACCACCTTAAACAAGCGCACATGTGGTCGACATCACACTCGATATGGGCCCATATCCTTATCAGCGATACTACCCATGATTAACACGGGTCATTACCACAACAAAAGGCTAGGCCTGCTTGTAGCTTTAGGTATCCCGAGAATACATGAACGGCTCAGACGAGCGGTGCTGCTAGCCTTATCGGGTATATTCCGAAGCCACCAACACCGACTGAAACACATTATGCTACGAGAGCTGGCTGTTTTAGCTACCGAGCCTAGACAATTGCACGGAACATTTCTGGACCTGGCATACAAACTGTTAAACTGCTCTTTTCAAAACGTGCTTGATGCTGTGAGGGGTCATGTGGACCATAGCTTCATAGGCAGCGCGATCGACAGCGACGGTGTAGTAGATTCGCTCAGATTCCTTTTAAATTCCAGCCAGACAGTGATGTCCCGTCGTCTCGTGAGGCTTCTGTGCTCATAGGGGTTTTTTCACAAATGTGTTGACTTGTTAATGTGCTTTGCAATTGCGTTTTAGTGTTGTGTTCATCGTCCTACATGCAGTATCTGTACTGCTGGTGTGTTTATTGGAAAGTGAAATGTGTATGTGTATTGTCTGAAAAAGACGCATAATAAATTGATGATGATGATGATAGCATATACGGTAACCCGACACATGCCTTGGCATATCATTACAGGTCATAGCTTTAATTTTCATTGGCTTTATCGCGACCAGGTAGCCATGACAGGCGCAAAGAGATAATTTAGCCAGCATGCAATGCAGCACTATGTCAGGTTTAATGCGATCCAACGAGCTAGTTGGCCGGCTGGGGGCACACAGACGTGTCCCACCGGTCAAAACCCTGAATGGGTGTCCTGATCAGGGTGTCCAGATAGCCGCACTGTCAAGATAAGCGTCGAGTGTAACCAGTATACGACTTGTACTCGCCGGGTTGGAATGAGTCGCAGTGACTACTATATTTTAGCACGGGACATGTGTTACGACCCCTGCTGTTCAATGTCGTGCAACTAAGCGTCGTGCTTTGCAAAGCCCCAGGATCACACCGGGAACAAGAACAAAGAAGTTCGTAGGTAAGCAGAGAGATTGTAGAGGTCCTATCGCAATCATGAGTATGTGTGAGCCCTTCATCTAACTTATAAGAGCATGAAAATCCCGGTACATGTTGTTTCGAGTGGCAGAAATCTAGCGGTATCTCAATTGTAACACTTCTGCCGATGGTCGACAAAGTCGCAAGTTGACAGCATTTTACAGAAATCCAGCGATAAGTTCAACAGTCAGCAGAAGAACGATACACGTGGGGATTTGCTCCAGCTAAAGGTGACTTCCCGAGCAAACGAGGGAAATATTTGTTGGCGAACAAACCACAAAGATAAACCACCATAGCCAGCACGTGGACCTCCGCTTGTAAAATCACAAATATATTCACACAGCAGCACATATTCAGCCCAAGCGGAACCGTCAGCACCACCATCCGATCCCATTCTGCCGTTCAAGCCACATGCTGCGGGCATTTGGCTGGCACCATTTAGTGCTGAGAGCTACAAGGACTAGCAGAACGTTTTGTGCATTGTCCATCACCGGACAACACCAGCTTCACCTTTCCATCGCTCCCTGACAAGAGATTGGGCCGCCACACCAGCAGTCCTGCCGCAGTCCCACACAATCGCTGACCGTTGATCAGCTGACAGCGGGGAGCAGGACGGGTGTCTGACCCTCCCAGCAGGAGTCGGCTGACCCCGTGACCTGCAGAGGCCGATCGTGACCCCCTGTGACCCGTGACGTCACACGGGTGAGGTAACAATGGAACAGGATACCCTGCAGGACCACGTCCGTTACAACCTTTACAGCCTCCGCACAGGCTGGGTGTGTCAAACGGGTTATATGGGAACAGACTATCAACAAGGGCGTGTATTGGCAACCGAGTTTCTTCTCAAGCGTAACTCCGCCGCAAATCAAGACCATTTCGTCTGTGAAACCTAACGGATTTATCCTATCGCGATACAAGTGACATCAATTGGAAAATACGCTCCATGATCAAAGCCACGATTTTAAATATGTAATTGCAACTGCTTGTATGTCATGCTGGGATACAATGCAACCCATCATGAGTACCCGTTACGCTGCTAGCAGTCAACAGGTTAATCTCCAGCAGCTCAGCGGGGGTGACACGGCCCACGCCCGTCGGCACCACTGACGTCATAGAACACCACTGACGTCACCACCGTGATAGACGGGGTCACATCTGCACGACATGGGACCATTTTCGGCAGCAATGAACAGGGTCATACGGCTGTTCCGACATGATGTTCATCTGTTTAGCGGCCGCGACCGACTGAGGTAGCTAGGACGTTAGACAGTCGTTTGCTGGTGTCGTGACATCTGTTCTGAGCGGTAGCGACACGGCTTACAGTGACCGTAAGCGGACCAATGGGAGTGATCGCTGCCCGGATATATCCCGGAGAACGGGCAACTTGTACCCGTCGGCAATTTAGACTGTGTGCGCCGAGGGACCTACGAAGCTGTAGGACCAAAAGCTGAGTGGATATGGCGACAGCTGAGTAGAACTTAGCAAGCCAGCGCTCAACCCAGACTTACAGGTTAGGCCATAGACGGTCGACTTGCAAATGATAGTGACAGACATACGACCGTCGAGCCAGACAAAAGTGGTTTAGACAGGCTAGACGGACGGGCGCGACGTACAAACGGACTGACTGAATGGCGACATGCACCCATTGGCACTGTCCGTGTTTAAGGGCGTCGCAGCAGCACAAGATTCAGGACTCTGGCTACCACAGAGGAGACCGACTAGCCGAGAGATACAGCCGGGAGATACAGCACGCCATGCTAATCACGTCCCTGTCACGTCTCGTCGCCGTAAAGCCGCCATCGTAAGGCACCAAACGGCTGCGACACCGAGCCGCGAACACAGCACGGCGACAGGTACGGCGCGGCGGTACCATTGTGGCGCGTCCATCAATCGGTTGGACTGCGCCGATCGAGCGGCCGCAGCCCATCGGCGCAGGGGTGAACTGGGACGGCGGGCTGACCATAGCTCTGCGATGGCGATCGGTCGGTCGGAACAGAACAGCGATAAGCTGGACTGACCGATGGTTACGGCAGCGGCTCAAGGATGACGGTAAATATCACGTCAGCAAGTTACATCAGTAGATGTCTACTGGAAGACGGGAGAGTAACTTAGCCCCACCCATGTCTGCAGAACAGAGGACAGACCGGAGACCGTCTACGGAGAATATTCTTTGGTAAAACGGGAAGAAGATGGCAGTGGTTGCACGGTAAATGAGCCGTAATTTTGTAAGCCTGAGAACAAGGATTGTTTAGACCCAAAATTAAATCGGGGGGATGCGATAGGACATTCAGCTCCTAAATGAGCTCCAAGCAGAACTAGAATGTTTTGCTCGTCGCTGAAGATGATAAGCTGTTTGTTCAAATATTATTTCGGCACTTTCCTACAAAATTCCTTGTGTCATTGTATTTTCTGACCCCGGATATTCTAAGAACGACTTATGATTTACGAATAAACTGAATATGCTGCAGGTCGTTATATGTAACTCTCCACATTTGTTCATAATTCTGTTCCTTATTTGAGCTTGGCTAGTAAAATTGTCGTTACACAGTTGTCTTGGACTTAAATTCATTTTATCCTGAGTCATATTCTGGCCCAAGTACCGGCAACAATGAAAAACTGTTGACGACTTCGTCCTACCTTTTCACACATCCTCTCGTCCTGCATTGACACTGGGACTCGGTACGTCGAAATAACCTAGATCAATCCCATTGATAGTTACAATGTCGAAAGCCTTGCGGTGACTTACCTCCAAGTCCTTTTCGTTCGTGGTGTTAGCATTCCTGTAACAAAAGAAAAAGTATGTTAATCAGCGTCATAAATCACGACTTTTATACTTCACATTCACAACTTAATAGTGTGAATGAAATACATCACTCGCCGTGGCTATGAATGGTAGGTACTTAAAGTCGATGCAATTTGTCGTTGATAAAAAATGCATTATAAATTGGCATTACTGGCCGTTCCATGCAGATAAGAGGACAAAGGCTAGCCATTCTCGCGTCTGGCCGCGCTGTAATCAGTTACACGGCATGCCGCATTTAAATGCTCATTAATCACTACCTGCAACCAAACGTTTTACACATTGCGACACAATGGCTATTATGTTCATACATGACCTAACACGGCCCAAGGCCAAACGAGAAACCATCTCGGAGCCACTCAAGCTGCCGCGACAGTAAGAAAGGAGACATTTGAACACATCGCTCGGCGACAACTCATCAACGTGAGTCGAAGTGAGCTGAAATAGGTAAGTGGCCCTCAAATACTCTCTCCGGCTGAGCAAATCACGGCAAAAGCCAAAATATACGATTCGTCATTTTACTCCGTCTACGCTGAGCCATGGTGTGTAACGGCTTTGCTATTATATGCGGCATCTGACGGAGCGCATATAATTTTATATTTCCATCGCTAGATGGCACTAGTAGTGAGCCCCTGAAGTGATGCTGTGCCGCACAGCACAAACGCCCACAATTGATGATGTAAGACCGATTCACTTACTGGCGCTAGACCAATTTGAAAACGGATGAAGGGAAGGGCAATACGGCAATGATATTACATTTCGATTCAGCATAATCGAACTAATTGGGTAGCTGCATCTCAATCTCAGGAAAACAATTTTATCCTGGCCATTGAAGAAACGAATGCCGAGTCATCTTCATCGCCCTAAACAGGTAGGTTTGGGAGTAAAGAAAAGAAATATGAATCAATTAAGTTGTAATTGCACAGCTTGATTGTAATTACGTGACCTTCGGTAAGGTATGCAAGTTCTGTGATTGCATGACTGATAAACTCCAGTCGCACTACACACGGGAGGCGCCGAAGCTCGAAATATCTGATTACCTACGCAGACCAGATGAGCCAGGCCCACATCAGATCAGATCATACCGAAACAGGATAGGTAACCCGTCAGCCGGTGACAAAAACCCCATCCTGCTGCTCCTCCTGACCGGACCAGTCGCTAACTTCTTATCTAAAGGGATACAAAACACCACCGTTCGTCGGTTGTCACAGGTGAAGCTACATGACACCTGAGCTGAGCACCAATCGAATCGAGGAGTCATTAGGAAGAGGTCGTCACATGGCTACTGAGCCAACGAACGGAAAGGGGACACCGCCCCGCTCGCGTCATGCACGGAGGCATGTGGGAGATATAACACGCCTCTGAGGGAGATAAGTCATGAGTGATAGAAGCGCTGGGTGTAGATGTGTGTAGGAGGAATGGAGAGCCTTTGAGATGAATGTGTGTGTGGGACGGGGAGAATGCTCGCTGAAGCCACCCCACCCCACTCAACGCGACAGAAGGCCCAGAGTTCGTCAGTCTCGCCCACACCACGCAATGCCTGGCTCACAAAACTCCCACACGACCTCCCAGACCCTGACCACGCGTGCACCTCAAACGATCCGCCCATCTCCCGTCCCCCACTCCATCCTCCCCTGCCCCGCCCCGTCCGGTATACACGTGAGGTCAGGTCAGCACAGGGCGGCGGCTGAGTGGCTGACTGGGCCACAATGGGCACCTTCTGTAGACGCTCCTCTCGTGTTGACGTTCGGGATGGGCGCACGGACTGATGAATAGAAGCTAATGTACTTGTGTGTCTCTTTTCATGACGATTATCGGATGCATTTGACCACGTTTCGCGCAAAAACATGCCCCACAAAACAGAAAGCAGACAGCCCTTTGACAAGGACAATTTCAGGGCAGGAATAAGTCATTGATTTACGTGTTTCACTTTACAACAGCCCATGGACCGGATCAGAATCGACTCTTTTCTCCGTAAGGTCGGTCAAAGTTGACAAGCCGACACTGTTATCAAACAGACGGCAGAAATAGCTGGCCTTGGTGTAATCCAAAGCTTCAGTGCGCCAGCCGGTCCCGGAATTTCAGTACAAAGTAAGCGACGTTACTCGAAGCGGAAACGGCCGACAAACTTCACCGGTTCGGTTTATTTGCATTTGGCACAACATTTGCGTAACGGCCGGTTTGTTATGCTACTGAAAATGAATGAAGCTTCAGAGCTCGACACAGGTGAGCGAATGGAGTGTGGCGTAACCTAAACACAAAAGCAGACGTCCTTTGATGATCTCCCTCGATAGAAATATCTACTGGAATCGGAGGGAGGATAGCTAAAGTGATGTGCCACCTAAAAAGAGCCACGCGTTCCAAATCGCCAAAGAACCCTATTCGAACTGTCATAGCCACTTCACACAAACACAAAGACCACCACAGAAAAGGTCATCACAATTCCAAAATACAGCTAATGTAGGGGAGGATCCATTGTGAAACCACCTTCAAAGACGGGCAGACGGTGAAGGCCGAAGGGCGATGGCCGGCTCAGATATGCCAGCTTTGTAACAACACGTGAGCGGTATAGGCTCATCGCCCAGAAACATTGGCCCTTGAGTTTATCGAGAGACCAACTGAAAAATAGAAAAGACAGCCTTGAGACAGGCTCATGCTACTTCACATCGCTCAATGACAAGTGTTCATTGAAAGTTGAAGTTAAAACTTATGAGTAGGAGCCCGTGAGCCTGCATTTGTCGAAGCTGGCCCAGACGATACGTTATCTTCAATTATTATCAGCGAGAGTTCAGGCGTAAGAGATTAGTCTAAGGTCACGCTATTCTAAGGAAATGATTTTGGTTACTTTTACCAAGGTTGATAGCAGACTACCATTCTCGCAGAGTGCTACTGTTTTAAAGCCAGTTTACTATGAAGACGGCCACTCCGTACGGATGCATGCAATAACAGCAAACGATGGTACAGGCAGCCATTATGTTTGGGTAAAGTTAAACGAACGCCCCTGTGTTGGCTCGGGTAGCAATGAACTGCTCAACGCTTCTGGCTTCGCCTCAGAGCAATATTTAGCACTGACTTCGTAATCTAAATCGTGATAGCAAACACGGCCCAGTAGATGTCAATATTGACACCTGTCCCCTACCCGCCCCCCCCCCAAAAAAAAAACAGATAGAAAAATAATAGCAAGCATTGTACCTATGAATACATCCATCGATCGATAACTTAAATGAACCGAAGATGCTTATTATGATTCCCCGATTTGCGGACATTACTCAACCCGAAACATCACAGTTCACACATCCTTCACTACCCATAGAACGTGAAATAATTCTACAAATTAAACAGCTGCTAAGTGGGAGATCCCTCTGAGGAAGCAGTACCTGTCCTCGCCGCAGCGGCTGGTGAGCAGCTCCACCACCTGATGCAGATGTCGCAGACGCTCCAGCGACTCGGCCGCGCTTGGTTCACCACCCGGAGACTCCGAGGTCGATAGCAGACGCTGCATGCTGGGATGGCTTACCGGAGCCACCGGCGTATGGCAGTCACGAAATTCACTTAATAATGAGTGCCTGGTGTTGGTGACCGCAGGCGTTTTCGAACGCTGACAACAGTCCGTCTGGTCCTCTAGAATATAGTCACCAGTCACCTTTACACCTTCAGCTAGCCCACGATTGTGTTTCCTTCCTAAAAGCTCCGGTGCTTAGGTTTCAATGTTCAGTTCTCTTGGCTCTCCACAACAACATCAAAATGTCCACTATGCACTCAAGTCTGTCCCATTCCTCACAACGCACCAAACCCAAAAGTCAGCTGCTCGAGAGTCCACTGATAACCTCTGAAGGCTGACACTGACCGCCGTACCACCTCAGTCTGACAGTTCCTGCGTGAATCTTAGTTCTGTCCACCACCGCCGGACGATAACACCGTGCCACGGTCACCGCCAGTAATCTCCCGGTGCGTAATCAGACATCAGCTGCCGTAATCGGGCCGCAGCCGCCGGCACACGCGCGACGCGTGGTAATGAGCACAGGTGGCGGCGTGTGAGCGATCAGCGGCGAGCGGTCAGAGGCGACGGCACAGGACGGCACTGAGGCGGTGGCAGACGGCGCTGTAAGGGGTCTCAGCTGATTGCTGTGCCGACGCAGCTCGACGAGGACTCCCAAACAGGATGTCAGGGCAGTGTCAGCTATCTGTCACGGACGCTCCAGCGGATGTCACGCCACCGCATCACCACATCAGCACGCTCGTGTAGAGCAGTTCACTATCAGCAAGGCTTCCGTGCGATATTTGTCCAGCGTCCACCAAGTCACCTCACCGCTCCGAACGCAATGTGAAGAGGTCGTCGCTCCCACTTCTGTCCTGACCCCACCGACAGTCGGAGCCCCGCGCCGCCCTCCCGTCGCCACGCGCTCGGTCACTGCAGTGCCGCCCGCCCGCGTCGGTCGCCGACGAGTCCCTTGGTGGACAGGTCGGTACGGTGACAGTGGCGCCCTCTGACCGGTCCCCGGCCGCCAGGGGTCGCCCCACTCCACCCTTACCCCGCCGCCCCTCCGGTGAAGACGGGCGGCCGTAAACACCGCTGCATACCTGGTGTGCCAAAGAAAGACAGTTTACACAGCTTACTCCAGCTCTCCTACAGTAAAGCATGCGTCGACACGACAGCGGCGTATACGTTCAATGCCCGTGAAGCCATGACAGTCCCAGACATGAGCCGCGTGCCACAATCCAGGCAGTAAAAACCTAACGAACCCTCCATGGCCTGGCCTGCATACCTCCGAGCTATTTGTAGAACCGTGTTCGAAGAAACGACAGAGAGCGGGCCGGGATTACACAGGTGTTACCCCGAGAAAGCTGATATTAAAGACCAATCAGCTGGAGCTAGTATAACCCATAAAAAGGTGCGTCTGCGACGATCGCGCCGGTCGGCACATCATGTTTGATATCTTCATTTCACTAGCAGCACCTCGACTTACGCCTGCGGCTATT